ACAGACTTAAAGAGAGTCAAATCAAAAACAAACTGCCATTCACAATTGCTACAAAGAGAATAAAACACCTAGGAATACTAACTAACTAACTAAGATTGTAAAGGATCTCTTCAAGGAAAACTACAAACCACTGCCCAAGGAAAGAAGAGAGGACATAAGCAGATGGAAAAACATTCTGTGCTCATGGTTAGGAAGAATCAATATTGTGAAAAGGCCATACGACCCAAAGTAATTTACAGATTCAATGCCATCCCCACCAAGCTACCTATGACCCTCTTCACAGAACTGGAAAAAAAATCACCTTAAACTTCAGATGGAACATAAAGAGAGCTCACAAAGCCAAGTCAATTCTAAGCAAAAAGAACAAAGTGGGAGGCATCATGCTACCTGACTTCAAGCTATACTACAAGGCTACAGTAATCAAAACTGCATGGTACTGGTACCAAAACAGAGATATAGACCAATGGAATAGAAAAGAGGCGTCAGAAGCAATGCCACACATTTACAACCATCTGATCTTTGAAAAATCTGACAAAAACAAGCAATGGGGAAAAGATTACCTGTTTAATAAATGGTGTTGGGAAAATTGGCTAGCCATATGCAGAATGCAGAAACTGGACCCCTTTCTGACACCTTACACTAAAATTAACTCCAGATGGATTAAAGACTTAAACATAAGACCTAACACCATAAAACCCCTAGAAGACAACCTAGGCAAAACCATTTTGGACATAGGCTCAGGCAAGGACTTCATGACTAAAACACCAAAAGCATTGGCAACAAAAGCCAAAATAGACAAACGAGATCTAATTAAACTCCAGAGCTTCTGTACAGTAAAAGAAACAATTATTAGAGTGAATCGGCAACCAACAGAATGGGAAAATATTTTTGCAATCTACCCATCTGACAAAGGGCTGATATCCAGAATCTACAAAGAACTAAAACAGATTAATAAGAAAAAACAAACATCCCCATTCAAAAGTGGGCAAAGAACATGAACAGACACTTTTCAAAAGAAGACATATATGAGGCCAACAAACATGAAAAAATGTTCATCATCACTAGTCATTACAGAAACGCAAATCAAAACCACATTGAGATACCATCTCACGCCAGTTAGAATGGCGATCATTAAAAAATCTGGAGACAACAGATACCGGAGAGGATGTGGAGAAACAGGAACACTTTTACACTGCTGGTGGAAGTGTAAATTAGTTTAACCACTGTGGAAGATAGTGTGGCAGTTCCTCAAGGACCTAGAAATAGAAATTCCATTTGACCCAACAATCCCATTACTGGGTATATATCCAAAGGATTATACATTGTTCTATTGAGTACTGTTTACAATAGCAAAGACTTGGAACCAACCCAAATACCCATCAATGATAGACTGGACAAGGAAAATGTGGCACATATACACCATGGAATACTATGCAGCCATAAAAACCAATGAGTTTGTGTCCTCTGTAGGTACATGGATGAATCTGAAGACTATTAATTCTCAGCAAACTGACACAAGAACAGAAAATCAAACAGCGCACGTCCTGACTCATAGGTATGTCTTGAGCAATGAGAACACATGGACACAGGGAGGGGAGCATCACACACTGCAGTCTGTTGGGGTGGAAGAGGGGAGGGACAGTGAAGGTAGGGAGGTTGGGGAGGGATAACTTGGGACGAAATGCCAGATATGGGTGACAGGGTGATGGAGGCAGCAAACTACATTGCCATGTATGTACATATGCAACAATCCTGCATGTTCTGCACATGTACCCCAGAACCTAAAGTGTAATAATATATATATATTTTTAAAGCCATCAAGCCCAAAACGATAAATTCTTGCTGAAGAAAACTGTGTCCAGAGGCTCTCATGATTTCATAAACTTTGTGACAGAGCCAATCAAGAAAATCATGAAATAAATTGTGGATACAGCAAAAAGGAAAAAAAAAAAAGGTGAAGGGTAAAAATTTCCAAGGAGAAATTCACAAGCTCATAGATGCCAGACCATGAATTAATAGAAGACGACTTGATGGAGATGAGTGCTTCCAAACCAGTGCTAGACACTGAGGCAGAAAACATAGAAGAAACAGTGTCAGAAAACAAAGTGATATAACAGAACCTGGAAAAACGGTTTTTCAAGACTGCTTTTGACTTCTTTTAAAACATAGACCCATCTATGCTAAGGTCACTGAAACTAAAACAAACAATGGAAAGATTGGCACCACAGAGAAACTTTTTTTTTTTAATTGACATGGAGTCTCACTCTGTCGCCCAGGCTGGAGTACAGTGGCGAGATCTCGGCTCACTGCAACTTCTGCCTCCCAGGTTCAGCAATTCTTGTGCCTCAGCCTCTTGAGTAGTTGGGTTTAGAGGTGCCCACCATCATGCATGGCTAATTTTTTGTATTTTTAGCAGAGACGGGTTTTTGCCATGTTAGCTAGGCTGTTCTGGAACTCCTGACCTCAGGTGATCTGTCTGCCTCGGCCTCTCAAAGTGCTGGGATTACAGGTGTGAGCTACCATACCCCGCCAGAAACTTTTTTTTTTTTGAGATGGAGTTTCGCTCTTGTTACCCAGGCTGGAGTGCAATGGGGCAATCTCGGCTCACCGCAACCTCCGCCTCCTGGGTTCAGGAAATTCTCCTGCCTCAGCCTCCTGAGTAGCTGGGATTACAGGCATGCGCCACCATGCCCAGCTAATTTTTTGTATTTGTAGTAGAGACGGGGTTTCACCATGTTGACCAGGATGGTCTCGATCTCTTGACCTCGTGATCCACCCGCCTCGGCCTCCCAAAGTGCTGGGATTACAGGCGTGAGCCGCCGCGCCCGGCCAGGAAACATTTTTTTTTTTTAAAGAGATGGGGTCTTGCTATGTTGCCTAGGCTTGAGGGCACTGGCTATTCAAAGGCACGATCACAGCAAAGTGCAGCCCTGAACTCCTGAGCTCAAGTGATCCACTCAAGAAGCTGGCTCTAGAAACATTTTTAGAGAAATGAAAAAGAAAAAATGTCAGACAGAAATTATGATGTATTTCTGCAAAGTTATATCATGTGTGCCTGCTTCCCTTCCACCTCTGCCACCTCTAAGATAGCAAGACCAAACCCTCCTCTCCCTCCTCCTCAGCCTATGCCACATGAAGACAATGAGGATGAAGACCATTATGATGATCCACTTCTACTTAGTGATAGTAAATATATTTCCTGTGCCTTACGAAGTTCTTGAAAACATTTTCTTTTCTCTATATCACTTTATTATAAGAATATGGTATATAATACATTTAACATATAAAATACATGCTAATTAACTGTTTATGTTACTGGTAAGGCTTTCAGTCAACAGCAAGCTATTATATTAGTTAAGTTTTTAGGGAGACAAAAGTTATGTGGATTTTCAAGTGCATGCTAGGGAGGAGAAATGGAACCCCTTACTGCCATGTTGTTTAAGGGTCACCTGTTAACAAAGTTTTAGTTCTTAATCAGGTGGCTTATTTCACATTTCACGTAACAGGCAGCTGTATTATATGTCTATAGTCAAATCCAAATTATCACCATATTTTTTATCTATGAGCATATATAGTATGGTAGCTAGAAGAAAATCATTAGTCTCCCTTTAGAAAGCTAAACTTGCATGGCAATTAAGTAAAAACAAATCCTTAACTTCAACAAAAATATATGTTCTTTTAAAACATCTCCCTGAAACATAATGCTCTCTGACAGAAGGCCACCTTTCTGTATAACAAAGTAACACAAAAAAGTCATTACTGAAAAGATGTGTCCCTGGAAAAATGAATAAAAGATTGGGAGGAGGGAGAGTCATATTTCTTTCTCTAGTGTCTTTATTCATTAATCTAGTAAGTATATATTGAGTGTCTATGATGTGCCAAGTGCTGTTCTAAATACTTGTAGACTGCAATGAGTAAGACAAAGTCCCTACCGTCATGGTGTTTACACTCTATAGAGAATAAATAAACAAAAAAAATTTAAATATAAAGTCAATGATAATTGGTATGAAGAAAGATAAAGAGATAAAGTGGGACAGGCTGCTACTCAGAATAATCACAGACAACTTCCTTGGTGAGGTGGTATTTGAGTGGAGGTCTGAGTAAAATGAAGAAGCAGGCTTTGTGATAGAGCACTGCCAGCAGAGGGAAGAGGTAAGGGCCTGAGATGGAAATGCACTTTTCATGTGTGAGGAACAGCAGAGGCTCGATGCTATTTGGCTAGGGCAGAGTGAGTGAAAGAACAGCAAGAAATGAGGTAAGAGCAATAGCCTTGAATTGCTTTTAAAAAATAAAAATAAACACAAATTTATTTGTGAATACATTTTGAATTATATTCTGAAAGCAAATGCCACCAGGAAAACACTCACAAGACATATTTTAGAGTAACATTTACCAGCAGTTATATTCAAAATCATTAAGAGACATTGACAACCACTGCATAATAATGCTCCCAAGAGGAACTTTGGTTTTATGACCAGTGGGCACTGATTCTTGATTGAGATTTTTTCCAATGTTTGCGTTACAAGCCTTTCCAATCACATATGTAATCATCAAAGTTGCCAATACCTCTTGTATTACAGGTTCACAGCTACTTTGTTTTCTTTTGCATCATCATCAATTACAAAAAGATTCTAAAAAATTAATTTAAATCTGTTTTTCTTCCTCCAGTCTTTTAGTGAAATGTTAATCTACTTTAAAAATATATATATTCATTTATTTAAAGAAGTTTCTCGTGTTACAGTATGAAAATTCTCCAAATTCATCTTGTGAGTTTACATTCCATGTATTCTTTTGGTTTTAAAATGAATATACTTTTTTAAACAGGATAAAAGCTTCTATGTTATGTAAAAGAATTTTAATCACTGGGGAAAATACTTTTCCTTCTTCATCTATAAACTTTTCAGTAGAAGAAATGGCAAGAGTTTGTTTGGTAAAAACATCTTTATAGTAAAAAACCCATTTCATTCAATCTGGAGAATGTCAACATAGGAGATACTGACCTCAGGAGACAGTACAGAATAAGCCTGTGGTGGTTTTTCCAATGAGACTGGTAAGCAAAACTGGCCAGTCTTCAACCGTCCATTCTGAAGCATTGGTATCCACTTTTAAATGAAAATGAACAATTTTATTTTAAATATGTTTGCCATAACAATAATTACTTATAAGGCATGTTTTAAGAACTTGGTATAAGCAAAATTTGTCTCATATCATCAGACGCTAAGGAATTTACTTATATAAGTAATAATAATAGTAGGCCTTCATACTTCCTCTAAAGAAACTTCCCTAATGTATTTTTTTTTTTGAGATGATGTCTCCCTGTCACCCAGGCTGGCATGCAATGGTCCAATCTTGGCTCACTGCAACCTCCACCTCCTGGGTTCAAGCGATTCTCCTGCCTCAGCATCCTGAGTAGCTGGCATTACAGGAGAGTGCCACCACACCTGGCTATTTTTTGTATCTTCAGTAGAGACAGGGTTTCACCGTGTTGGCCAAGCTGGTCCTGAACTCCTAACCTCGTGATCCACCCACCTTAGCCTCCCGAAGTGCTGGGATAACAGGCATGAGCCACCACACCCAGTCATGAAATTTTACAAAGAAGGATATCCCCAAAACATGATTATTACTAACCATGCAATATTAAAATCTAGATGCAAAAAGTCAGTCTTAGAAAAAAGCCATAACATAAAGTAAATCAATTTTAAAACTGAGATGGTCATTTCAATGCAAACAGTGAAAGAAATAATTGATTAGATGAGAATGCTGGAAATGAAAAATATGATAATGAATTTATTTTCTTACAGTTAGAGAAAAACTCATGTCACAAACTGCAAGAGACAAAAATAACCAGTCAAATGTTGGTTTTTCTCTTTTGGCTGAAAGGAAAATTTTTCTGACAGAATTGTGTGATACCATACTATGATGTCCTTCATCTTAGGTTTATCTTTGCAATTCAATCATAATAATTTTCTTTTTTTTGAGACAGGGTCTCACTTCGTCACCCAGGCCAGAGCACAGTGGCACGATCTCGGCTCACTGCAACCTCAGCCTCCCAGGCTCAAGCAATCCACCCATCTCAGCCTCCCTAGCAGCTGGGATCACAGGTGCACACCACCACAACTGGCTAATTTTTGTATTTCTGGTAGAGATGGGGTTTCATCAAGTTGCCCAGACTGACAATCATAATTTTGTAAAATACTGAAGGTTTTTCTTTTCCAACAGTCTCTTTTATTCATTTTATATTAAAATCATTCTCTTCTAAGAAGCCTGTGGATCTATTATATTTATATTACACTGTTGAGTATGCACCCAATAATCAGAACCAACACCCAAGTGTTTATACATGTTAGTTAATAAATCAATTAATGACATTAGCTAGTTATACTAATGGGCATTTTCCTTATTATAATGGCTCTTCCTAATCAAAGCAACTTTATAACTGTGGAGACCCTGACAAAGAATATTCAAATAACAAGAAACAGGCCAGGTATCATGGCTCATGCCTGTAATCCTAGCACTTTGGTAGGCCAAGGTAGGCAGATCACTTGAAGACAAGAGTTTGAAAATAGCCTGGCAAATATGGTGAAACCATCTCTACTAAAAATACAAAAAAATTACTTGAGCATGGCAGAAGGCACCTGTAATCCCAACTTTTCAGGAGGCTAAGGGAGGAGAATTGCTTGAACCCAGGAAGCAGAGGTTGCAGTGAGCCGAGATTGCACCACTGTACTCCCACCGGGGCAACAAAGACTCTGTCTCAAAAAAAAAAACAACAACAAACAAAACCACACACATACACACACACACACACACACACACACAAATAACAAGAAATATCAACTATATCTTAAATATCACCGTTATTTTAGCTCTTTGAGCTAAGCATTTAATCAAAACGACTTACTGTATATCCAACTGGTGTTTCAAGAGGAGTATTTTGTTTTTGTTGACAACTAACATGATAAAAAGTAAAAAGCAAGTGATGATGATCAGTTAAAGTAGCAGGAAGCTTAACCTTGATTTCTTCATGAAAATCAGGAGACCTTCATATAAAAAAAAAATCAACTGTCAGTAATTTTTCCAAAATAATGTATTTGTATATTTGAATAATTTAAAAATTAAGTTTAAGATTCATGTTTAATTTTTCCTCTAGTCCAAAATATTTTTCTTTATCCCCAATCTCTAAATAACTAAATCCTACTTCCATGTAAGGGAGCTGCCACTGTTTCTGAAATTTCTCATCCCATTTTTCTTAATGGGTTGAGTAATCCCACTATTTAAAAGTTCATAAATGATCACCTTGATCCTGAGATCTCCATTGGATCTTCTTATCCCATTTTTCTTCTCATCCCTTGATCCTGAGATCTCCACTAGATCTTCTCATCCCATTTTTCTTAATGGGCTGAGTTATCCTACTATTTAAAAGTTCATAAATAACCACCTTGATCCTGAGATCTCCATTAGATTGGAAGCTCTATAAAAGAGACTAAGGTAGGGAATTCTGCATTTATGAGCCAATTCTGATAAACACTATACAAACATTTTTCTTTCATAGGAGTATGCTTTCATATTAAAACCAATGTGTATCATCCTTTTGTAAAAAAAATAGGGAAAAAAGGCATCTTTAGAGAACTTAATATGAAAATATCACTTTGGAAGCCAGCTGTAGTGGCTCACACCTGTATTCTCAGTACTTTGGGAGGCTGTGGCATCAGGATCACTTGGAGTCAGGAGTTTGAGACCAGTCTGCACAACACAGCCAGACTCATCTCTATAAAAAATTAAAAAAAAAAAAAAGTCCTAGCTACTTGGGAGGGAGGCTGAGATGAGAGGATCACTTGAGCCCAGGAGTTCAAGGCTGCAGTGAGCTATGATCCTGCCACTGCACTCCAGACAGAGTGAGACCCTATCTCTTAAAAAAAAAAAGATCAAGTTTTGTTCTAGAGACTGTCTTCTATCAACTCTTTCATTGTTAAAGAAATAAAAAGAGTTACCAAAATATGAACTAGAATTGACTTCTAAAACAAACAAAAATAAAATAAAATCAGGAAATGCCCACATACTACATTTGTCTCAGAGTTTAGAAGTGCTTCCAGACTTCTAAGAATACAATAAATATCTTTTTTGATCAAACCAATGACAAACTTTCTTCTCAATATTCACTGAGAAGAATCCCAAGAGGTTACTTTTATAGAAAAGCATGGCTGCTATTCATAACAAAAAGGAATAAAACCTTAGCATCCCAACTTTCCATATTCAGATAGTATCTCTCAGAATTATATTAGACAAAAATGCAACCAAATCATATTGCTCCAACTATCTTTAACCAGCAATCAGGTTTTTTTCCTTAGATGTTAATAGGTCAATTATCTTTCCATCTCAAATAAGCCTCAAAAGCATTAAAAGATATAGATTGAACACAGGAATATTAAGTAGAACAAGGCTTTTGATAATATCAACAAGAAAGATAGCTAAGGCTAGCCATCTGAGCACTTGTTGACTTTGGTGGAAAAAAATAAGACACTAGGCATCTTATTACTAATCCCACCAATTACCAATGAATTATGAGAAACTGAGTTTGCCAACAACGTCAGATGGCATTTTTGATCCCACTAATGCTGAGAACAACAAAAATAAAGACCTAGCAATAAAATGGAATAATTTTTAGAAATTACTATCTTCTTTATCAATACATTTCCTGGTATGCAGTGTTTTAATTCACTTTTGTCCTAAAAATCACATAATGTGAAGACTTTTGTTGAAAATTAAGTATCTAAGAGAGTTATTCATTCAATAAGTAGGTTTAACTGACCACCTTTGGCTAAACATTGTGTTACTTTTGTGGTGGTTTTTAAAGACGAACATTAAAAAACAATTACCCACAAAAAGTATGCAACTTAGTAGGAATATAAATAAGACATATATATATCAATAGCTATGCTATAAAACAGGGGTTGGCAAACTATGGCCTATAGACTAAAAATAATTCACTGCCTGGTTTTGTACAGTCTGCAAACTAAGAATGGTTTTTACATTTTTAAATGATTGGGGGCAAAAAAGAATAATAATATTTCACAACATGTGAAAATTGTATGAAATTCAAATTTCAATGTCTATAAATAAAGCTTTACTGGAATACAGCTACACTCATTTACTTGTAACGCTACTGTCTATGGTTGTTTTTACACTTGCAACATAGTTGAATGGCTGCAAGAGAGACCATATAACCACAGGCCTAAAATATATACCATCCAGTCGTTTGTAGAAAATGTTTGCCAGCCCCTGGTATATAGCATATAGGGTTATATGCTTCAAGAATAGAACTTAACAGATTACTTCAAGTTTGAGATCAGGGAATTGTAACTTAGAAGGTAATATTTGATATGGACCTTGAAGAATAAGTAGGAGTTCAATAAATAAGGGAATTTGGTATTATAATAGAAAAAAAAACCCAAGAATGGCCCAGAAATAGGACAGCAAAGGATATACTTAGTAATTAAGTCAAAGGAAATCAGTAAGACTTAACAGAAGGGGAGGGGAGGGCAGGGGAGGGCAGGGGAGGGGAGGGCAGGGGAGGGGAGGGGAGGGGAGGGAGGGCAGGGGAGGGGAGGGGAGGGGAGGGGAGGGGAGGGGAGGGGGAGAAAACAAAGATGTCTTAAATGTTGAGCCAGAGTAACTGGAAAAATGGTGGTACCATTAATAAAAATGGAGAGTAAGAAAGACAGAGGGTCAGGACAAGAGTCAGATATAGATACATGAACACAGACAAGACATCAGGGTATCCAAATGAATATGTCCAATAGGCCACTAAAAATACATATCTGTATTTCAGAAGCAAGGTATTACTAAAAACAGAGTTGGAAACAATCCACAGAGACATTAAAGTAGCAGCATTTTTATTAAATGTAACTCTGAGAGATACATATAAAATTATTTAAGAAAAGAATATATTAAGAATGAGGGTTAAGGAAAACTTTAGTGTTTTGTGTGGAATACCATACACTTATGGGAAAAAGAGTAACTACTACAGAAAAATAGAAGTGTTGAAAGACATAGAAGGAAGCCCAAGACAAGGCCACAATATAAAGATAGGAAAGAAGAAAGTTTTAAGAAGGGTAAGGAAAATACATACTATACAATAGCAGTGAGAAAGGACTGTTGTATTTTTAAATATGGAAACGGAAGCTTATTTTTGAGACTAAGAGACAGAGCCAATGAAGCAGGAGACTCATGCTGCAAGAAATGGGATAACTGATTGACTTATATTCTGGGAGAAGTTAAAAGGATCATTTGAAAGCTGAGGTGAAAAGATTCACATTGAACAGGAAGTGGGCCATTACACCCCTTGAAACAGAAGGAAATGCAGATCAGTATAGAGATAATTTGAGATGAAGCTAGATAAGTTGATGGGTCTCAAGTTGGGTGGTCTTAATAAATAGGATAGCTGAGAGTAAAGCATACAGAAAAAAAGTAGGAGTTAGAAGAAACTCCTATAGCTACTGCTAAATGAGGGCAAAGTGTTAAAAAAAAGACAGTAGGATTACAAAAGAGCTATGAGGCCAAAAAAGATAAAATGAATTACTGTAGCCCTATCATATGATACAATAACATCAATTTTTGATAGTCCTGATTAGTACAATTTTGTGATTTTTCTCCAATAGTATTCAATAATCCCCCCAAAAGAAAGCAGAAATTAAAGGTTATCCAAAGTTAGCAATTTCCCAAGGAAGAAAAATGGCAAGTCACTAAATCGAAGAATTAACAGATACTGATAACTTTACCAATTTAACTGACTAATGTGTTCAAGCTTAGTAAAGGCTTAAGTTACTACAAAGTGTCAGGTGAAAATAACGGGAAAGACCAAAGGACCTGTGGCCACAATGATAATCAATAACAATATAATAAAAATGAAAGGATCAAAGAATTCAAAAGAAAAGATGTTTGGTGTACAAAGTCATATTCGAGATGTCAACAGAGAATGGCTGTGCATCCACAGGTTGAAAATTATAACTGATGTCAGCCTTGAATTGGCACATTTAGTGCAGTAAAGCATTTTGTAAACACACTAGTGTGAGTGCTAACAATGCCACTGAGAAGTGAGTAACTTTGAAAGAAATATTTGAATTCAGTACCTGTTATGATATACTACGGCTGTATAGGCTTCCTTTGAAAATTCTGAACAGCTAGATTTACCAAAGATTACCTGAAACAAATAACAGCACGTTGAAACTTTGTTGTAGTAAATGCTGGATGATTCATATCTATGTAAGAATTTGTCTAATTTAATAACTATTTGAGAAAAATGGGCAAAATCAGCCCAATGAAGAATAATGTGCCTACTGACGTTCATCAAAAAGTTCAATTACTTAAATCTAAGTTTCTTTTCTACAACAGACCCATCTGACGAACATTTCAAAAGTTTCTATCAATTATATTTATATCTACTAGGAAATTAGATACATTTCTTTCCTTTTTATTAAAGAAGGTGAAGAATTCAATTTTAAATTAGATGTAGCATATTATTTAGAATTTATGTAAGAAATATAAATGGTAGCATAAATCTACTATACAAATTGTCAGCTTCAACACTAAAACAGCAGAGTCATTCTGAAAGTCAAATATAAATTATAAACGGTATCAGAAATCCTATTTTAGGGAAACCTATGTACCCTTTGCTTCTAATATTTCCTGCAAGCTACACTACAATGGAGGAGAAGCTCCATTCTTATATTTTTACATATATATATATATTTTTTTAATCCACCACATTAAAAAGAATACAATACCACTTTTGGAATAAGTTTATAGGCAAAGTAATTCAGCCTTGTATATCTGTCTCTTGAATTCTGAAGTAGTAACAGGAATACTGTGAACAATTAGAACAGCTGATTGGATAAATGGCTCAATGTCAAGATTATAGTTATAATTCCTATGTGAGACAGACAGACTTGCAGCATTACCTAGCCAGAGATTAAACTCTAACTCTATATGGCCATCTTTAAATATGCATGAATAGCTATGTGAACATGTCAGCACACTTCCATCAACACAATTGGTAAAACAACTCAAAGTTTATTATTTATATAAAGAGATTAATTTGCATCTTCCGTAATTAGAAGGGCATATTAGCAAGATTTTCTGTTTCTTTTTGCAACATTTCAAGCAGGCTCTTTTATTTTAAAGGTATGTACAAGTGTAATAATTATGACTTTCCTAAGATATGTATTATTTCATCAATTTGCAAATACCTTAGTATGTTTTCATAAATTGTTCCTGTGCCAGAATTATGAAGTTTAAAATTACATCAATATTACATGATCAAAAAATTATCTTAGGACCCATTTAAACAGTCCTTACTTAAAAAAAAATAAGCAAACACAGTATATGTTTATATACGCTTTCAAATCAGCCACTTCACACATAAAAACATATTTTCATATGATTAATAACATACAAGTAAAAGAAATGCAGTACCTTTTTTCCCCTCTGAGTAGCTATCACTTTTCACAAAATAACTTGTTTATTTTCATAATATGAATGACATAGAGCAGACAGTGCTCCTTTTTTGACTATTTGATAGGTATTTTTAGTCATTCAGCAATATGGATTGAGCATCAATTATTTATCCAAAAGTGTGATAGGAGTCAAGATACAGATATGAGTAAGAGATCATCCCTGCCCTCAAGGAGCTCACAATCTAATGAGTGAGATAAAGAAATAAATATAGAATCATAAAGTGATAAAGTCCCATGAAAGAAGTGAGAAGAAGCTATGGTAGCACCAAAGAGGGAGTGGTCTAACAGCCAGTATAGGATGAGTGCAGCTGGGGTTCTGTAGATGAGGCCATATATATATATGCTAAGATAAGGAAGAGTTTGTTAAGTAAACAATAAAAACATTACTTTACATAAACTACATTTGTCATATGCTCAAATTCATATGGCAACTCACACATAGGTGGACAAAGCATCTATTTTCACAATCTAGTACCTTTTCATCAACTATCATAGTATGTTCATTTCTTCAGCAGAAATGAACTAGTATAAAGTATGACATGTGAATTTCAAACCTCAAAAATAAATTCTACAATTATTCCATAAATATTTACCAGTATGTATTATATGCAATAATCTGGAAAAAAAAATGCCATAGGAGAATACAAAGACGAATAATTTGTGCTCACTGTTGTCAAGGAGATCTACAAATGTTGATGTAACTGAGGCAATAAGGTAGAAGAAAATGTATCTTTCCTAGTATATGGAAAACCAGAAGAACTTCATTAAAAGATGGACATGGAAGGATAAAATAAGACTGTTAACAATGCACCTGTTCTTAGCTCATTTTCATCCCACTAGGGTTCTCAGTGGTTCAGCATTGATAGCAATAGCATATTTCTATTCCATATATTACTAACTTTAGCTGACACAAAAATTCACTCTCATGAAACTTGGATTTATTAGTGTCCCACAAACCCTGAATGACAATTTGGACAGTCAAGAATCTCTAGTCTGGTCTCAATCTACTATTTCTGATTTTTCTTCCAGTGCTCTGGTTCACTGGCAACTCACCACTGTCATCACTGTTCACCGGCATTCCCCAACTTGAAATGCTTTCCTTCCCCCACTCTACAATCACACTGCTATTAACATTTTAATGATCTTTGATCACCACAAAAGTGTCTCTTCTATGAGATGCTTGTTACCTCAGTAAGGCATTCTCTCCCACCTCTGAATAACCACCTATTCCTTTGAATCCCTATATCAATCTTCTAAAAATTAGCACATAGCTTGGTTCTCAACATTGTCTGCAAAATGTAATCCCTGGTGAGACTTTAAAATACTGATACCTGGTTCAATCCCCAGAAATTACAGTTTAATTTAAATGAGATTCAGCTTGAGCACTGGGTTTGAAAAGCTCCCCAGGTGAATCTAATGTGCAGCCAAGATTGAGAACTAATACCAGAGTTTGTCAACCAAGATGGGAAAAGCCATACATATTAAAATCACCTGCGGAGTACTTTCAACTAACACAGCCTCACATACCACACATCACTTTCCACCTCCCTTAACTGGCCTTACATTCTAAAGGGAGTTGAGGAGAATAAGAATCATAGATGTCAAAAGTACAGAAAATATATCTCTACTTTGATAGAGTTCTCTAGGTGATACTGATCTGACCCTCTTTTGAAAACTACTATTTTAGATTTATATGTATTTATCTTATACCTTCTGGATTACAAGTCTTATTCATCTCTGTATTTCTAGGTGTGCCTAACATATACCAAGTCTTCTATAAATAAGTAAGGCTTTAAGTAATGTCATTACTATCTATAACTGAAAGTAATGCAGCTAGAAATTTGGCTTAAAAGATCACATTAATTTCCAGGTTGGAGCTGCCAACCAAGTGCTATCAAAAAAAAAAGTCTACTTGAACTGTATGCAAAAAATTGGAAAAGTAAAGAACATTTCTTACCGGCATGGCATTGCTTGGATCCTCTCCATACATAAACTGGACTTTCACTGTTATATTTCTAGCAGAACCTTGACGATTGGCAAAATTAAGACTCTGAGGGTATATGTAGAGAAGATTTCTGTGAAACCAACAATATAGATGATAATAAATACATATCTCTATGTATCACTCACAAAATACCACAAAATAAATGAGCAAATACTGATTTACTGATATTGGCTAGCCATTATGCTAAGCATTTTCATATGTGATGTTTTATTTGATCCTAAGAGCAATCGTTCAAACACACAGCAATCAAATATGTCCCGATTTTGCAGATAAACTGAGATGCAGTAAAGTTAACTGATTTTCTCATGCAACGAAGTAAGAGACAAAGCTGAAATCAGAGTGCAGGTCAGTCAGACTTCAAAACTCATTATCTTCACTCTACAAGAGACTTCTGGAATAAATGAATATGGACTGAAACATTATTAAGTTAAAAAAATAATTCAAATATTTTTCTAGTATTTCTAAATAGCTCCTCCAAGCACATATAAATAGGATGGCATTTATAAATGTGGCTGTTGTATAAATGTGATTAAGAATTTTAAGGAGTATAATATTCCACATCATTTGTTAAAGACATTACAATATAGTGGATATAATAGAGTTAGGTAGTTCCTACAAGTTAGTAAAATTTTAATTTGCATTTATTTGAATTCTTGTCCAGTTTATGATCTTTATCATAGACAAACTTCAATAGCCCTTGCTGCCAACACACAGAAGAGAAATAATTCAAGAAAAGACACCGAAGAGCTAAAAAAAAAAAATCAGAGTTACTTTACCTAAAGACTAGTGCTTAGAGCCAATGAACAAGACACTGAATATAACAGAATATTGTTAATCAACTGCTGGGGCAATGAAAACAGATCTAAATTTTGTGAAGAGTAGTAGGGCAATATAGAAATTTTAAGTAAACACACACTTTGACCCAAAAAACACACCTCTAATCTGAAGAGAAAACTGCACACATGTACAAATGATTGTGTTCGAAGTAATTTACTACAAAACTTTTGATAAAAGAATGATTACACAAAATTATAAAGAAAAACAATGGTCATTAGTACTGAGTTGGTTAATGAAGATACAGTAATTAAGAAGGAATATAATAGTGTCCCCAAAATGATAATGTACAGCCATATTTATTGATGTAGAAAGAGATACCTAGCATATTGAATGGGATACAGGATGGGGGAGAAGCAGGTTCCAGAGCAGGATGTACAATGGCATTACCCTATTTGTGGAAAACTCTGTGGGGGGGTGTGGGGGAAGGCAGAGAGAGAGAATGGATAAAATTATATTTCTAAAAAATAATAGTGATGGCTTGAGTGTGTTTTCTTTAATAGTAATGGTTTTCATTTTTTATACATTTTTATTTAAAATTTTGAAGTAATATATTATCTTCATAATTAGAAAAAGCAATAAAGTAATTTCCATGCTAGAGGATAGGAATGTCTTTGACAATAAGCATACCAACTAGAAGTACTAAAAAAAAATGGAGAAGAATCAGCTGTACTCAAAATAGTCAAAAAGTATAAAAGGCAAATATGGAAATGTTATGACTGGTCAGTTTCTAGTCTGACTATGACTGACCAACCACTGAAATCATCAAGTAAAATTTATAAAGAAAACATTTACTGATTGCTCCAACTAATGTCAGGCATTGTGTTGGGCACTAGAAAAGGAAAAAGGGAGATTTAAGAAGTCACATCCTGGTCTTCAGGAACACAGTATAATAGGAAAAAAATGCCTATACACAGATCACTTCAAAACAACACAGTGTTATAAGACAGGCATGCAAAAGCTATAGGAGTAAAAACTAGGAACCTAGTTGTCTGTGGAGAAGTCCTTTCATTTATAAGATCCCCCATCTTTTCTATCCTTATGATTTATTTGTTGAAGAAATAAATCTGTGTAGATTTCCCAGAGCCTACATTTTACTGACTGCATTCCTACAGTGTCACTTGAGATAATCATCTGTGTTTTTTGTAAATTGAGAGTTGAATCTACAGCCTCAGTCTTATTTCGGTTAGAATTTATTTTTCAAGAAGGTCACTTTATAAAGGATACTGTGTTCTTTTTTCAGGAAATGTTTGGTTGCTTCCTTTTGTGCAATTAGTAGACAATGATGATCAATGCCTAAATCCATTATTTTTCATTTAAAAAATTTATTATTTTTTTTAAGAGACAGGGTCTCATTCTGTTGCTCAGGCTGAAGTACAGTAGCATAATCATAGCTCACTGCAGCCTTGAACTCCTGGCCTGAAGTGATTCTTCCGCCTCAGCCTCAGACCCTCCTGGTCTTAAACTCCTGGGCTCAAGTGATTCTCCCATTTTGGCCTCCCAAACTGCTGGGATTATTAGGCACAAGCCACAGTGTCCAGCCCACCTAAATCCACTAATTCATTAAGGTTGCCAAACAGTAATATTCTATCATTTCTTTTTAATTTAGCAACCGATGTACCTTTATGAAGAGTGCTATCCCTCATCTACTATTTGCTTTGCCAGTGAACCATTATATGAGAGGCAGGAATAAATGCTTGATTCTTCTCCATTATCTGCCAGTTTGCAAAATAATAAATTGGTGCATTACAATCCTCCAAAAGGGATCAATTACATCTTTTTTTTTTAAAGCATCGTTTATAAACTCATGGATGAAACATATTTGATGAGTCTCAGTATATTATAGTTATTATTCTTATGGAGGATTAAATTGTCCCATCTTTGGCAAAAAAAAAAAATTCAAGCTGGCTTTTGATTCAATCATAGTAGTCTGTGACAATTTTCTGTTATGACAAGATGTTCCCGGCTCTTCATATATACATATATATATGTATGTATGTATTTTTTCCCCCAGACCTGGAATCAGTCATTTTACCAAGAAGCTATAGTTAAGTTCTTAAGAAACATTTTTTTCAAACCACAATGAGAGCATTCATTGTGGATTGGTCCCTTTTTCTAGCTGTTTCTAGACCATTTAAGTACAAAGAGTAGGGGGAAATGCTTCTAACAAAAAAATGCATCCTGACTTACCCTGTTATTTCCAATTCAAATTCAGGACTATAAGGTTTCTACTTAATCTTTTCTGTCTTGCATCTATCTATATTTCATTTTTCCCATGCTGAGAGTTGTTCTCAAGGACACAAACTATAAAAGAATTAAAAGTGTATCACTTAATTATTCATCTGTGTTGTTCTAAGAATGGTATCTTAAGGAATCCAACATTCTATGTTCAGAGAGAGACAGACAAGCCTGCAAAGACTGAAAAGGCACCTGTAGACAAGACGGAAAACCACGAGAGTACAATGACATGGAAACCAAAGAAAAAAAATAAAATAATTAAATATTAAATGTTACTCAAGAGCCATGTTAGACAAGTACTAAAAAAATTCAGTGGGATTTAGCAAAATGAAAATCACTGATAATCTCAGAAAATAAAATGAAGTTCTTAAAAGTAACTGTGAAGGGAAAAAAGATAATGCAATAATTGGAGACAATATGGGAATTTTGGAAGTCTTTTTAAATGAAAAAGGTTTGATCTTGATTATATCCTTATGAAAATACTTTAGTTAAGACAGAGTCTGCATATACTAGAACAGGAATGTAAGATTCCTGAGGAGATGGTGGGAGAGAACAGAATCTAAAGCACGTGATAATATGACATACTGAAGTATGTCTATAATTCCTTGTTGAGTATCAACAGCACACACTGAGAATACAGAGATAAAAATGAAGTCCTTAACTTCATAGAATTCACAGTCTACAGGAAAAATCAGACAAGCAAATAATGATAATAATATAGTATGGTAAATGCTGTGAACACAGAATCACACTGTAGCCCATACAAGGACTTGGGATTAAAGAATCTGTCCACAAAGGACATGAATAGACACTTCGCAAAAGAAGACACATGCAGCCAACAAGCATATGAAAAAAAGCTCAGCATCACTGATCATTAGAGAAATGCAATTCAAAACCACGTAAGATACTATCTCACACCAGTCAGAATGGCTATTATCAAAAAGTAAAAAAAAATAATAGTAACAGATGCTGGTGAGATTGCAGAGAAAAGGGAACACTTACATGATGCTGGTAGGAGTCTGTTTAATTATTGTAGAAAGCGGTATGGTGATTCCTCAAAGAGCAAAAAGCAAAACTACCATTTGACCCAGCAATTCCATTACTGGGTATATACCCAGAAGAATATAAATCATTCTACCATAAGACAGCAGCACTATTCATAATCGCAAAGACATGGAATCACCCAAAATGCCCATCAGTGACAGACTAAATAAAGAAAATGTGGTACATATACACATGGATTACTATGCAGCCATAGAAAAGAACAAGATCATGTCTTGTAAAAACATGGATGGAACTGGAGGCCATCATCCTTGGCAAACTAATGCAGTAAGAGAAAACCAAATACCACATGTTCTATCTTATAAGATGGAGCCAGATGATAAGAACTTATGAACACAAAGAAGGAAACAACAGACACAGGGGTCTCCTTGAGAAGAGAGGATGGGGGAGAGAGAAGAGCAGAAAAGGTAACTATTGGGTACTGGGCTTAATACCTGAGTGATGAAATAATCTGTAAAACTAACCCCTGTAACACGAGTTTACCTAACAAACCTTCACATGTACCCACAAACCTAAAAGTTAAAAAATAATAATAATCTACATTAAAAACTAAAACTCAAAAAATCTGTTCACAAATGTCAATGAGAAATTTTCAAATAAAACAGAAATGCAAAACATACAAAAAACCAAAATATGCTGTGCATGTGTCCCTCACCCCCACTACTCCCAAATCTCTGCATTTGGATTACTGCTACCTTTGCTTTGTGGACATGGACATAACTATCTACTTCCCATCTTTCAAATATAGGAAAGCCTCGCCTTTACCTTTCCCCATCACACCACTTTGATACTTCATTAAGAACTCTTATAGAATCTATAATTATCTTGTTCATTTATGTATTACTCCTCATTTTTTATATCTCCTCTAATATAGCCAAAACATGTGAGGGCAGGGACCTTGGTCTATCTGTGTAACTGCTCTTTTACCAGTGCCTT